AACCAAATTCTCTATAGAGGACAAAATCAAAAGTTATTGTCGACATCCTTAAATAAAACACGTTCCAAAAGGAGTAAAAACAAACTTAACGTACTCAAGACCACAGTGGCACAGAATCAATTATTATTTTTGATTAGTTTTTAAGATTGTGCATAAAAATTGTTGGTACCTTTGACTGGGTTAAAAATGGCAGAAAGTATTATCCACACAACGTGACGCCATCTGCAAATTGAATATTTTTATCTTATTTTTTATAAAAATTACTCTCTTTATATGTAACACACATCCACTACACTAATTTTATGACCCCCAGTAAGTCTGCGGAAATATAACGCTAGAAACCGGATTGCGATACCCGTGGTGGGCATAACACAAATAACCCACTGTGCAGTTTTGTGCTAAACTACAAACAAACACTGATTTTATTGCTAGGGTGGAACTGAGTTTGGAGTTGGCTTTATAGAGTCGACGAGTACGTCTATGCAAAAATATTTAAATCAAAAACGTCAATTTCGCAGGCATTATACTTGCAAAAGGCTTAGGACTTTCTTTGATTACTTCCAAGAGAACTTTCTTATAAATTTAATGGTGATATAAAACATTACATTGAAAATCGGTGTTATTTGATAGTTTTATAGACACACAAGTAGAATAAAACCACGCGTTTTCTGTGTTATATAGAGGTGGCTACATTCCCCCAATGACTCTTACTGTACCGTAGCATAACAGATTATTTGTTTGTAGTTAAGCACAAAGTATCTGTGCTTAATTAAAAATTAGCAGAATTACCGCTGTGCCACTAGGGGGCAGCGTAGTAATGAAAAATAATTAAAGTCATGTTGTTCACCCAATTTTCAGATTATAGGGTCGTATTTACATCCTAATCTTATAAAAAGTAAATGATGTAAAGTAAAACAAAATAAACTTTTAATCACAAATTTTGTGAAAGATTGTAATACAGATTAACATGACAGTCTTATAAACAGGAAATTCCACGAGTCTGCGAAACCACAGCCAATGGAACTGGCTTGGAAAAATCAGCGGGGAAAGATTGTTTTGTTACAAGTACTTTTTGTGATTGATGAATTCTGTTACTAGATTCACTACTACCTAATTCGAGCACCGGAGGACATCATCTCCCCCCTCATATTATGTTTGCAAATATTCAAGTTATTAAAGGTGTTTTGAATTCAAATCAAAGTATGTTAAATTACAATAAATGTTTTTTGTAAACCAAAATTGTTTTGTTTGTAATTTATGTTTTATGTGACACTGTTCATGACACCCCTACCCTCTGTAACATATCGTAATACAGGCTTAGACACTCTATCATCCCCATATTGTTATGTAATTTTTGAATGGTCCCCAAATGTCAATCAATTTTATATTTAAAAACTACCTGTCAGGAAATGAATATTCGTAACAAAAACTGTCATGTCACAAAAATGATGTAGCAAGAATACACGTTGTCCTAGTAACGAAATGTCAGGATCCCAATTTCACGGCTATCTTGGAACAGAGCTAGTTGTAAGGCAGACAATTTTCTGCTTGTTTCCCTTGTCTAAAACAATAGCTACAAATGTACTGTAAATCAAAATAAAAAATCTCATTAAAACACAGAGAAATCATAAGTAAAGTCGTGATTCAAAAACAAAAATTGATAAGATGTAGAACGCAATAACGTTATTCACAGCAGGCCTGGTGGTTAGGGCGCTCGACTCGCAACTTGCGGGTCACGGGTTCGAATCTTATCACTAAACTTGCTCCTTCTTTCAGCAGTGGGTACGTTATAATGTGACGGTCAATCCCACTATTCGACTAGAGTAGCAAGAGATTTAGCAATGGGTGATGTTGAGTAGCAGCCTTCCCTGTAGTTTATCAGTTATAAATAGGGGAGTCGCAATATGATGGTCCTTAAATTAACAGGATTTCTTGCCCCAGTGAAAAAATGCTGGATTAAAAAATACGTTTTCACACTTTACATTAACTCACAGTAATATTTAAACTAGCCTTAAATTCTTTAATTGTACTTGTATCAAAATTTGATTATGTTTAATTTTGCTGGTTCTGTTAAATTCTCACAGAAATAATGTAGCCCAAGTATATAAAAAATTGACTATGTGGCATAATGAAAAACATAAATTTATATATATAAACACAACGTTTCTCTTATAAAAACAGTATGTGGACGACTGGTACCTGTATTGTACTTCCAAATATTCAATGTTTTAGTAAGTAATGATACCTGTTAATGCATATTTGATACACTATCAATAAGATCTATGCTTCACAGTTTCACAGGTCTGAAAGTGAACTAGTAGTTGGGGTGCTGTGCTGCACATTAAAAGGTCCGAGGTTCGACCTATGATATGCCTCTGAATGCGCTTCGCAATTTCAGCCATGAGTGCGTTATAAAAGTGACAGCAATTCCCTCTCTCCGGTTAAAATTTGTCATGTAGATGATGGGCGTTGCTGACTGTTTGCTCTTCCTCTGGTCAGCAGTTCACAATTAGGGATGGCTATACCCGAACGTATAAGCATCTATCTGACTTGGTGATTAATCCATTGTGTGCAAAGTACAATTTCGTTTTAACCAATTTATCAAACCGTAAAAACTCACAGAAATAACTTTAAAAAATAACACTATACTTCTTGTTTAAAATAGGACTCCTTACAATAATCTTGAATAACCACAAAGTTAAAGAAAAAATTCGCCAAACTAATTCTGTGACGTCCACTTGAAACGCGCAATGTTTAGTCATATCGGGTCGATTAAAGTGACAGACACTTCCGGTCTAACGTTTCAAGGTACTATAAAGGAGAAAAAATAACCATTCTAGAAATATAAAAAATTCCTTAAACATTTTACTCCATTAAATGCTATAATGATCGTGTTTTGATTAAACTAGTCAATACTCTTCGTTCGAAGCATCAAAACCATTCATATCATATATGAGTTTTATGTCATATAACAGATAATGAACAACGACAATACTGGCAATAATAGCAACCTGGAGGTTTCTACATTAAGCTACAAAAAGTCAATGAACAAATACTTCCTATTACAAAAGAGCTTTAGCCTAATTTAGATGGAGATGATAGGCCTAACTAGCCTTCATACTTCAATAAATCTTGGCTTTTAGTTTGACATTAGTAGATTTAACAAAAGATGACTTACAAGACTACATCTGTGCTTTTTATATACATTTCTATATTAAATTTCATACATGTTCTTCCTACATCCGACTCTAACCTCACATCTTTTATATGTGCATTATTTTATCTTATAGAGTCTAAGTCATAAGCATAATCGTAAAACTTACCCTACGACACGATGGTGGAGATTTGGGCGACTCGTGACCCTTGTTGAACTGGAAGCCCTTTGGTGGTAATTTTGTATGGTTTTATTGTGGTTGACGCTTGTAGAGGTGTGAATCTCCAGACAAAGTAAAACAAGCAAACTGTACGGACACAACGCATACTTTCTTAATGACGCCATTCTTCTTGTAATTCAAGCGACGAAATTATGATGGGTTGTAGGATCTCTGATAAATATTTAAGTGGTTCTGTCTGTGTCAAAAGATGGAAATACTTTTGTTAGAATAACACTTAAAGGAGGAAATTTATTTACAGCATCAATGCCTCTTGAAATATAAACAATTGCATATGCAACATTAGTTTGGCTTTGGAATGTTGCCTGAGCTTCTAAAACGTTTAACGTTAAATAAAAATGAATGCAATTTTTTTAACGTAGATAGTAGTATATGTTCGCTAAATATCTTATATATACATATTTGTATGTAGATACATATATATTATCATTAACTTCTGATAAAGCAAGCTTCCTACAAAGAGCAGAACTAAAACATATCTTATTAATTACTATAACTAATTTAATATAAGGCAATGGTTCATAAGTTGGCCACCCTAGCAGGGATGGGTGGCCAACTTATGAATCATTGCATTATATTAACAAGAAGATATAATATCGCTAACAGGGAGGGGTGGCCAGCTTATGAACCATTGTCTTATATTAACAAGAAGATATAATATCGCTAACAGGGAGGGGTGGCCAACTTGGGAACCATTGCCTTATTTTAACAAGAAGATATAATATTGCTAACAGGGATGCGATATTATATCTTCTTCATTACGTCCACAATAAAGCAGGCTTACTTCAATGAATTTAAACAAAATAAAATACCAGTTTAAAACGTTACCATCTTCAGCTCTCGGTAGAGATGTAATTTATTACAAGGTCTGGTTTAATCAGATGAAACTTTTCTTCATAACGATGTAGGAATAATAAATTTGTTTAACGTTACGGCCAGTTAATTGGTAGTCTTGTTCTCCAAACTTGATTTTTTCTAGTCTTACTTCTCTGTTCAGGAACCGAGCTTGATCCATGCCAGTTTAAAATAGCATGTCCTTTGTTAAATATAAAAAAAAGAAAAGATGTGGACACATTATTCACGGTTTATAGCTAAGTGTTGTTTTTATCCTCTTGTTAAGGAGAACTTCTTAGTTGTTGTTGTTTTTTACCTCTAATCGTTCCGCGACGCCCATATCGCAAGAGCTGGTATAACTATAGTACCGTAATCAATATCACACTAAGAATTTTAATATTTTTTTTAATGTTGTATCAAAGTCTACTTTAGAACTTCTGATACGCTCGGTTTAGTAATCCATCAAACCGCTAGATGTCTTCAGATAATGACTCTAATTATGTTTCTACAATATCTTTAGCACGTCATAATTTGGACACGAACTGAGAATCCCAGATTTTTCTACCCTGAAACTCAATAAGATTAATGTCGTTGTAAAACTCTAAAATATAGTGTTGGATACTCTCTTCATTCATTATGAACAACATTACCTTTCTATTCTATGCTTCGACTGCCTAGTGGTGTCTGATTAAACTTTAGAAACTCTGTTTATACGAGTCACATATAACTTAATAATTATATCTTTGAGATCTGCACAAGAAATAACATCAACACATTTGTACTGTATGTTTTTTTTTGTGTGGACCCTGGTGGGGGTGCCGGGGGTTTACCTTGCAAAAAACGTTATTTTAAGTAATTTTGCTAGACAACGGCTCCTGGCTTCATTTTTCAGTTACCAAAATCGGGCAGCATTATTGTAAAATACACTTCTGTTTTGATGATAGCGTCGGTAAAGTGTTTGAAACTACGAAACGAGTTAACAATATTCTTAGCAACCTTTATTTATGTTACACAAGGAACATCACAAAAGGTGTTTTTTAAACTATTTTGATATGCATTGTAACATCATAGACTCACAGAAAAACTGTGTTGTTTAAGTTTATAATCGGCAAACTAACCCTTTGATTACTTTTATATGCTAAGTAGTGTAATAGATGGTAAGAGCTACATTCAGAATAAATATGTAATTAATTATCATTCATAGTATAAAGTTTTACATGCAGATGTAAGTATTTATCATTCATAGTATAAAGTTGTACATGTAGATGTAACTATTTATCATTCATAGGATAACGTTTTACATGCAGATGTAAGTATTTATCATTAATAGTATAAAGTTTTACATGTAGATGTAAGTATTTATCATTCATAGTATAAAGTTTTACATGTAGATGTAAGTATTTATCATTAATAGTATAAAGTTTTACATGTAGATGTAAGTATTTATCATTCATAGTATAAAGTTTTACATGTAGATGTAATTATTTATCATTAATAGTATAAAGTTTTACATGTAAATGTAATTATTGATCATTAATAGTATAAAGTTTTACATGTAAATGTAATGATGTATCATTAATAGTATAAAGTTTTACATGTAAATGTAATTATTTATCATTAATAGTATAAAGTTTTACATGTAGATGTTTTGGAAAACTTTCCAAGGAAAATATTTTTTATTAGTGACAAAAAGGCATAAAAGACGGTTGTGTAGTTCTTACATGACAAAAATAAGGTTGTGTACACAACCTTATTTTTGTCATGTAAGAACTAGTTCTTACATGACAAAAATAAGGTTGTGTAGTTCTTACATGACAAAAGTAAGGTTGTGTAGTTCTTACATGACAAAAATAAGGTTGTGTAGTTCATACATGAGAAAAATAAGGTTGTGTAGTTCTTACATGACAAAAGTAAGGTTTTATTAACACTTACCTGATACTCCTTCACTAAAAGCCACTTCGCAACACGCATGTTAAAATTTCGGTTTTTTACTTCCTTGCTTTAGACAGGTCACATATGAATAAATCTTGAGAATTCAGTTTTCCAATATGTCCTTATGTAGTTTTTCTGTTTTGTAAATGTTTCCTTAATCTACCACTGGAAGTATTGCTTATTACTTAAGATGAATAAAAACATAGCTCTCTGCACGAAGGTAATTATCTGCTCTGCGCGTGTATGCGATACCGAGTGCAGTAAGCGTCATATGAAACGTGGCTGTTGGCTAAATTGTTTTGAGCGCGTTCGTAATCCGTGGTCAGATCACCTTTTCTTCTGCCACTTTTATCAGAACTCACTTTCTCTGTTGTAGATAAATTAACTACATGAATATAACAGCTGGAAATATCAGTTAATTAACCTGAAGAGCTATGAGAGTCTTAATCATCGAAGACACAGCTCTTATGTTCTGAAGTCAAACAAGAAATGTGCTAACCCAGAAGCAGTAATTCGTTATGATAAAGACCCAGTGATATTAATATCTAGCTCTCCGCCAATAGCGAACACATCAAGGATTTTCTCTTTACAACTTTACGTTATAGACTAAATACTCCATAAAGATTTGCATTATTTTGGAAGTAAAACAGTCTTTAAAAAATCAAGTTTGTTTGGAATTAAGCACAAAGCTACACAATGGGCTATCTGTATTCTGCCCACCACGGGTATCGAAACCCGGTTTTAGCGTTGTAAGTCCGCAAAAGATTAAGAGAAGACTGACACGTGTGTCATAGATCAACGAACCAGTTGTAAGAGGATATAAGTTATTGTAATAGATTCGAATATTTTTTAATATAAGTAAATAGTTTCGCTGATGTTTACAGTATATTTTACAACTGGCGAAAGGTCAGCTCTAGTAGTTTCCTTCTGTCGATAAATATAAAAGCGAATTTTGAAAAGTTAAAAGCATACTCATCAACAAATAACCAACTTTTAAGTAAACTTAGAGTGAATAATTTACTCTTTAAATTTATTTTATGTTTCTCAAATGAAACGTATTTTTAAAAAAATTGTTCGAGTTCCCTTTATGTCTTATTTAGCATAGTTAAAAGAATATGAATCTGAGCTCAGAAGTTAAAAGTATCAATATTCCTGTTTTGAGGGAATGCCGTTGTACACCTACACACATATGTATATTGTTAACTAATGCTTTGACATATGCAGAATTACCGCTTACTTAAAATTAATACTTGATAGTCTGGGTTCTAATAACATTTTTAATAATAATATGAAATTTCGTTGGATACTTAGAATAGTTTCACTAGGGAAAATCTTGCCTTACTAATTAATCTTTTGACATTATTTGAAGAGATTACTGCTTATGTGGATATTACGGTACGGATGATTCGCTGAGTCATGAGGTACCCCACTTGTGACATTAATCCAGCTTAACTGAATTATAGTTATAAAAAGTTTCTGCTTTCTTCCATCAGTTTTCTATTCAAGAAGTCATCCTATCAATTACACCTACAGTTTGCATGTATTAGCGAAAGCCACAGTGGGTTATCTTCTGTGTCCACCGCGAGAAATCGAACCCCGGATTTCAGCGCTGTAAGTCCGTAGACTTAACACTGTCTCACCGGAGGACAACACCTACAAAGATAACTTTTAACAAGCCTTTTATTTGGCACCTTGTTGTTTTGATTTGTACTAGTGACATAGATGAAAGAATGATCAATAAATTATTTAAATATGCTTAATATCTTAAAGTTTGAGCCGGATCCTGCTTCCTTACAAAATGATTTGGATTATTTGATGAGTTGGGCAAATAAATGGTAAACGGTTTTTAATTATGATAAATGCAAGGTAATGCATTTGGGATATCACAATTGAATCACGAGTATACATTTGATGAGAATAACCTTAACAGTGTTATGGAAGAAAGCTATCTTGTTTTTCTGATCAGTCAGTCTCTTAAACAATCCAAGCCAATTAATATTGCTAGTAGGAGAACAAATAGGATTTTAGGTTGTATCCACAGAAATTTTGAATACGAGTCTAAAAAAAAAGTTGTAATGTGTTTGTATAGTTCATTAGTTAGGCCACATTTGGAGTATTGCGTTTAGTCTTGGGTTCCTTACTTTAGAAAGGGCATTGAATTGTTGGAAAGGGTTCAAAGGAGAGCTACTAGGATGATACCTGGGATGGAAAGGTTGTCACAGGAGGAAAGGTTAAGATTTCTGAAATTGTTAACTCTTGAAAAAAGAAGAGTTAGAGGGGATCTGATTGAGGTGTTTAAGATTGTAAATGGAATTGATAGCGTTGATGCATCATCTTTTTTCGTATTTAATGGTGAGAATGGTAAGACTAGGGGACACTATTATAAGTCTTGACAGGGTAAGACAGCTTTATTTTTCTAACAGGGTGGTTTGCCTTTGAAATAGTTTCTTTCAGATGTGGTATATGCAGTTAATTTAAGAGAGTTTAAGGGGAGGCTTTATAAATATCTGAATGATAAGGGCTAATTTTGAGTGTTTTATTTTAGAGTTTGGCTAAGCGGATGGGACGGGCTAGATGGACCAACAGGCCCCTTGTTGTCCTTAAGTTACGTTTATGCATATGTGTGATCTTCTTAGCACAAGTGAGAAACAGAAGCTGATCAGCTGACTATACTGATTTTAGTTAAATTGTTTTAAAGAAATGCCATACATTGAACTATATTATATCATTTTTATACACACTTTTAATGTAAAATATAAAAACTAACAGCCAATACTGTATGAACTTTAAGAATAAAAACAAAAGTACTGGAATAAATATCAGTGCATAATTCGGAAGCTACGGTAAGCAAGCTATTATTTTTAAGTGCAAACTACACAATGGGCTATCGGCATACTGCCAACCGGAAGGGAGGAATCGAACTCTAATTTTAATTACTGCTTACCGACAGGAGGATACTACTGTGAACTAAACAATAAGTGGAGAAAACTGATAACAAAATAATAACATATTTAAGGATAAGCATTCCCTCCACAGACACTCGTATTTTATTAGATAAACTAAGAATATAGTTTCGTGTGCATGTATTTTGGAAATTTACATGAATTATAAGATGTTTGATAATAAAATGTATGCGATTTATTTGTCTCTTTGATAATAAAATTTAGATAACAAATCGTACCAAAAGTTAGTGTTGGCATCTTAGGAGTAATATTTGGATTCCAAGAAATAATGACTGGCAAGTAGTTTTCTTTTATTGTCTTAAATTAGGTTACATGTTGAGAAGATTTCATGTTTTTCAATCTCCCATATCATGTTGAGAATATTTCATGTGTTTCAGTCTCCCATATCATTACTATGCTGTGTGTGTGTGTGTGTTATCTTAAAATGTATCTTGTACATCCTTGTATTCAAGACCATTTGACCTCCATGGCTTCATAACTCATGTGACATTTCCATGAAGTGCCAAAAAAGGGAAGCGAGGCACGTGTGTAAATGAAACAAGCCATCAGCGAATCCTAGACAACACATTTGAATAACAACAAGAAAATAATTTAGCGTTATAAACCTGTAAACTTACTGCTGACCGACAGAGGGACACTACGGTAAACTAAACAATAAATGGAGAAAATTGATAGAAAATTATAACATATCTAAGGATAAGGGGAAACATTCCCCCACTTACACTCATGATGTCACACATTGAAACCAAAAGAATTGGAGCAGGCTCTTCATGCTCTTTCTCTGAGAGCACGTTTATTTGCTTATTAAAAATTTTCAGTTTGAAACATTTTATATTTTTTATACTGTTCAACATGCTCCCTCCAGTGGTTCAGTGGTAAGTCTGAAGGTTCATAACGCTAAAAACCGGGTTTTGATACTCGTGGTGGGCACAGTACAGATAGCCCATTGTGTAGCTTTGCGCTTAACTACAAACAAACAAACAGAACTATTCCGCAAATGGCACTGGAGGTGCAAATATAAGTGTGCTAATGCTAATTTAATTGTGTGTATTGTACCAGTTTTTTATTTAGGTAGTTTAATATTAACTTTAATCAGAGCAAGTTATGTACTTAGAGCGAAACTAAAACCCAATCTGGCAATCAATATAATGAATTAAATATACTTTTCTTACACTTCTATTTATAAAGATTAGGATCCAGTATTTCATCATTTGGGTCCCCGCACTGTTAACGATATTTTCGGCCGTAATCCCAATAATATCTCACGAGGATCGGGCAACTTTAGGTTAGCTCTAAATACATATATTAAGTTAACAATGCAAAACAGTCTCTATACTAAAAAAATGAAATTAAAAAGTAATGACAATTCATATATTAACGAGTATAACCAATATTGTTAATGAAAATAACAATAAGTAATTAATACACTATACTCTACTAAGCTTTGTTTGTGGTAAAGCCACTAAAGCTATCTGCTGCTGACTTTATTTTTTGAACTGCCAACCATAATTAGGGAATCACCGTCCGGTAGCACCCACTGCCAACTCTTAACAACGAACAGTAGGATTGATCATCACATTATAACGTCCCTACGTCTAAAATGGCGAGTATGATCGGAACTAGGTTTCGATCTCGCGACCCGTAGATTGCGAGTTGAGCGTCGTAGCCACCAGACCATGTTTATTCATCTAGAGACCTCAAGTAAATCTAGTATGAATTTTAAATAAGATTTTAGCTTTATTAATGAATTAATTCTGAAGAGTAACCAAGGGAGGTAAGAAACCAGTAGCTTAAAATACAAAACATAAAACAACAGGTATGAAAGATTACTCAAATTTTATATCTTATTTAATGTATAAAAACTAACCCAAATCATCCCCCAGTGACATGGCGGTATATCTGCGGACTTACAACGCTAGAAACCGGGTTTCTATACCCGTGGAGGGCAGAGCACAGATAGCCCATTGTGCAGCTTTATGCTTAACTAACCCAAATGAACACTTTAGTCAGCTGATATATTAATTATTATGTATAAAGCTAAATGAAATATTCAAGTAGGGATTTCCCTGATTGCTCAGTGGCGAATTACAAGGAGTTATAACGCTAAAAAGAAGTTTGGTTCAATAACTTATTGCATAACTTTGCGCTTAAATATCACCGTACAAACGATGGTTGAACAAGCTTATTTCTAACTCTATATGTATATATAAATAATTATGTAACAAAGCTGATTGACGTGCTGAACAAGGTTAGGTTTTACTTCATGTGTTAAAACAAACATGATGAATGCATTAACGAGACTACGATTCTCGTGGGAAATCCGCAATAATGTCAAGCACGAGCTGTCAGTTATCCTTTGTTATCCAGTAATTTTACAAACCACTGCCAAAATACAATATTTGCATTCTAAAGAATAACCAGTTACAGTTGTTAACTATTGAAATCTGCTATATATATATAATTACTCTACATTATACAGGAGTATGTGTTTTCCTTGCAACACAACACCGTGTATT